ATCTAATACTGTGTGCAATCTAAAGTAAATCAATTGTTAGCAGGAAACCATAAAACCATATTATTTTTGTTGAGAAGTTTACTCTCCCAAAACAATGTTAAAATGGTGAAAATCGTGCAGACTATGGCTTAAATACAATCTATAGTAAGTGTTAAGCCCTGCATGTGAAAGGTAATTCCGTCTTATTTTGTCTGGACATCTGAAGTGTTGGAATATTTCCCAGCCACACAACTACGAGACATTTTACTTTCTCCTCTCTGCCACCTCCAATATGGCGGCGACATGGTTATTTGTTTTTTGGTTATTTGTTTGGTTACATCGTCCGTTAAGCTTCCAATAGGGCGTCTATGGATGTCTATGAGTTTCAGCTCAGGTTCTAACCAGAACTAGACCTGAGCTGGGTCTACACTGGTCCAATCAGATGTAGACCTAAAGTTCTGCTGCTGGGAAGCCTCTGAATGGTTTGAGCCCAGATTATATGGCTGTCCGAGGTTYGCTCCAATGTTTCCAGATTAGAAACTTTATTTTGTTCCTCGGATCTGTATCTGTTGCGCCTTACTGTTTAACATGTTTAACATGTGTTTAATAAAAGCCCTGMCTCTACCTGAGTGGACTGACCCACCTGTGAGAGCCTGTGTCAGCGCGTGCCTGCTGTTGACAGCGTGAGACCACCTGATCTCGGCCGCGTCTCTTCCTGTCAGCTGGTTCAGGTTTAGGAAATACTCGATCGTTCGGTCCCGCATTGTTTCAGCAAAAAGCAGAAAAACAACAAAAATRAAAGCAGAAAACAAGAAGAAGAAGAAGACGCGAGCCGTCAGCCTCCAGCGCCCCATGAAGCTCCGTGATCACCAAGCTGCGCTCCTACACCGGTTATTACGGTACAGACGCTGTATGGAAGSCCGGAGAGGACAAAAAGAACTCTTTTTACTTTAGGTTCAACTGATAACTATAAGATGTTCTGGTATGCATGTTCTCTCAYCTGCAATATTCATCATATACAAATATTCAGTATTTACTCCTGCATTACATTTTATATTACTGCTTATTTAAAATGTTTTAACTTTCCTCACGTTTCATTCGTTCATCTGTTATAGTCAACAAGAAGCATCAGCAGAGTTAATAAATTATTCTCAGAATTATCTTTCATTAGTGAAAACCTTCATTTTAAACATGGAAGGTTTTTTGCTCTAACCTTCTACATTTCTTTACAAATAAAACAAATAATGTTTTTAATAAAACAGATGCTTCATAAACAATTGACTAAACTGAACTAAATTAAAATCATGTCATTATTTCAGCTAACAAACTACATTTACACTGCTGCCAAAAGAGAACTAAATCTCATTTAATTGCCCAGAGAAGAGCGATTTCAGATTTTTTTATGCTATCTAAATGTGACAAATCTGATATTTTTAATCAGAAATGATTAAAACAAACGTTTTTTACTCAGCTGAGGGGCTGGTAAAGTACATTTCTCCTAAGAAAGACATTAACACTAACTCAGATATTTAGGTCCCCTAATTCTAAAGCACTAATGCACTGAAAAAATTAGCAAAAGCTAATTCTAAAGC